TGGACCCTAAGGGGGTTCCAAGTGGGTTTTAGAGGACTAGTAAGTCTAACATGACATGAATATTGTGTGTATATGCATCCTTGCAAAAGAGCTTAGCTTTTATCAGAGCTTTCATCAGAGATTCAAAAGAGTACAAAACTGAAAAAAAATCATGCCTTTTCCATGATGATAATATGACAGATAATATGACTGTTACATGTGTGCATAAATGCATGCACAACTGCACAGGTTGGTGAAGTAGAGAATATTTTTGCCAGATTTTAAAATAGCTCAGACTTTGACTAGACTCTAGTGATAAGCCTAGCCAACAACAACCTACAGAAGGTTAAAACCATTACTGTTTTCCTAAGTTACTACATCAAGGTGAATCTATCCTTAAGATGATGAACCAAACGTCCTTTAAAGAAAAAAAAAAAGTGTGTGTGTATATTTCAATCAGTCAGATCAACTAAAATCAATGAATTTGATACAGTGACTTTTTTGAAAACGCAAGCTGTATATACTCAATGTGGGGCTTGAACTCACCACCCTGAGATCAAGAGTCACATGCTCTGCCGACTAAGCCAGCCACACACACCCCTTATGCTGTGACTTTGTAAGTTCCATTCAAAAGAAAATCCAAAGCCTCCCAGGGCTTTGTAGATATTCTCTGACACATTAAAAGCATCCAAATTAAAATTCAACTTTCCTACAATGACCAGGTTAAACTTTCTAAATGCCATTTTCATCATGACATTCTTTTCTTCTCCTTCTTTCTTTTTTTTTTAAATTTTTTTTTATTTATTTATGATAGTCAGAGAGAGAGAGAGAGAGAGAGAGAGAGAGAGAGAGAGAGAGAGAGGCAGAGACACAGGCAGAGGGAGAAGCAGGCTCCATGCATCGGGAGCCCAACGTGGGATTCGATCCCAGGTCGCCAGGATCGCGCCCTGGGCCAAAGGCAGGCGCTAAACCGCTGTGCCACCCAGGGATCCCCTCTTCTCCTTCTTTCAATCAAATCTTAATCTCAAAAGGCTCATCTTAAAGTTTACCTCCTCCTCCATGTTTAAAAGCATCTTTGGGCTTCTAAAGTCCACAACAATTTATCTTTTCCATCATATTATGGCACTTGTGTGGCAGTATTCATCTGAGCTTTAGAAATTAGAGCTCCTCGGGCCTCAACCCCAGAGATTCCAATTTAGTGGGTCTGGGATGAGACCTATGAATCTGGCCTTTTAAGGATCACCTTGGGTGATTATAATATACTTCTAGGTTTGGTTCCCCAGCTTTTTCCATGTACAGAACACAGACTATCTTGCATTAATGCTTAACCATGCAGGCAGTCCTCCCAGAGCACTGTAATCATAGTATTCATTACATTACTAAACTCTTTAAGGATACAAAGCCCTAGAAGCTAATGTAGTTTAGGAATATAGGATGTGTAGAATAAGTGTTTATTGAATTAATGAACATGGTCTCTGAAGCAAGACAGACTCCAGTCTTGTGCCACCCTGACTTTAGGCAAATTACTTAACTCAAAGCTTTGGTTTCCTCCTCTGCAAAGTAAGGATAATAAGCCCTATCTGACAAGACTTTTAAGGATTATATGAATTGTTGTATGGAAAGCACCTAGCATACATTCTGACATAGAGTAACAAGTGTTAAATACATGATCCCTCAAGGACATTTTAAACCTTTTTTGTAACCTCCACATGACCTAGCACTGCCTCTATACAGGACACAATTAATAGACATTTGTTGCCTTAATTACATCAAATACCAGTTGCTACTTAAGAATGGTATTCCATACATACCAGGTTTGTGGTCCTGAGATGCATCCGTAGATCTCAGAGCATAGCTAAATTCATGATATATAAAATAGTGGCACCATATTATCTTCATCTCTAACGTCTCACTTTTGAATATTCCCACAGAAGTCACAAGCGCTCACTTATGACAGAGCTCAGGAGCTCTAATTGATTGCTGTGTTTTGATAGGTATGACTTTCAAGAATTTAGTTTGTTTCTTTTTTACACTACTCACTGACACTATCTTTGTAACTACCTATACCTATAGTTACTCCATAGAAACAAGTCACGAGCAATACTAATATATAGAGATAGCAGCCTATTACACCATCCCTCCTTTATAAAAGAAGCCAAGATAGGTCTGAATATAATAAACCATTGAAATCTTTAGTAAGCAAATTTCTATTGCCTCTTTCAAAAAATTTCTTCACAATAGATCCCTTTACTTGAGTCTCTAACAATGTAAATAAGGTTTGTCCTCTTTAATGTTGGGGTGGTACGCACATCTAAGAAATAAATAACTAAGCAAGCACTAGACATCATCCTAAATCACTTACAAAATTGAGCGACTAGTCATAAAATAGCAACTCGAGTGGTCTTTTCAAAGTCACTGAAACAAACACATTTTTAGCCAGTTCCAATTGACTGAAAGACCGTAATAACTTTTTTAAAAGTTAAGGAAAATGGATGTCAAGAGGAGTTATCAATAAAATGAAATATGCAAGGAGTTTCAAGTAAACATTATCTGTTTGATATTCCTAGTTTTATCAAATACCTCAAACTTCTACAAATTTCTTCTTAAAGTGAGACCTACACTTTGGCCAAAGTTCTACAGGTTCCTGTGCAAAGGAAGCAGATTCATGAGGAATCATTACATTTCTGAAAAGTTTTTATTTTAGCAATTAAAATAACATAGGTTGAGTATCAAATGCAGAACGTGGGCAGGTTTTCTTTTCACATGAAATAAAAAACTCAAGAGTCCAATGCTAACATTCCCAGGCAAATTTTACATGTATCAAACATTTAATTAAGGATTGAAGAGAAGCTATATCTGAAATCACAATGATTCTATTTACCCATGAGTCTTGACATCTCTAAACATAGTCATTAGTAAGCTAACCTATGTTACTTTAACAGCTATACTGTTTCTTAAGAGAAGAAACGGGTTTCCTACATCTTTAAAGTAATCTCGGATTAAAAATATTAAAGGTTAAGAATAAAGCATTTAAAATCAGGGACCAATTATTTCCACTTAAGTCATTCATTCTACATATTATACTCTTTTTATGTTAAATAGTAGTATTGTTCCTCAGCTATTAACATTTGCTTTACATCAATTAATATTATTTATCTGTTGATCAACACATCTTAGAATTCACTTAAACTTGCTCATTGTTCACAAAAAAGTTTAATTTGTCTCAGGTTCCCAAACTTAGTAATTTGCACATTTCCTTTTTAACTCTTTTGCTCTCTACTAACGCAATTAAGCATGCGTAGGAAATAGCCTATCCCAAATACCCAATTAGACTTACATTATCATGTTTAAAAAAACACAACATCTTCAATTCCCGGAAGACCCTTTTGCAAGAGACCAGATTCTGGAAGACGTTGGGCATCTTTTTGAGTGCTACTCTCTTTCCATCTCTTGGATCTGTTACTGACCTAAAGAAGCAATATTTGGGGGAGAAGGAAAAAAAAAAGAGAGAGAGAAATCAATTCTAAACTTTGTTCTTCAATGTTTCAGAGCAGGACAATTATCTTTATCTTAGACTACCCAATCTACTTAACAATGCTTAAGGTATCAGTGAGAAAGAACATTTAAAACAATTATACACTTAAAATCAAAGAGAACGTTTAGCTCATCCCACTTAATTGCCATCCTATTTTTTTTAATCCTCCTCTAAATTTCTATAAATACTTTGAGAGGTCACTTAGCAAAACATCTCAGGTAGGAGGGTTCTTAATGATAAAGCCATTTTAAAGATGAGTGGGGAAGTATAGATTAATACAGCTAAAGTCAAATTAGTTTCATGCTTCATGTTCAGAACCACATTCAAGATGGAAAAGATGTTCATTCAGATACCATTACATTTAGTTCAACATGGAGAAAACAGTTTTATTATTTTGGCTTCTTACATAAATGAACATCTTTTAGTAATATGAATTTCAATCCCACTAGTAGCTGAACAGTGTCTCCTCCTCAGAAGTCCTGAGTGCCAACTTAGGGCTGTAGCTTCTGGGTTATTAAGACCTCTTCCCTTTTGCTTCTTACAAGGCTTTTGGTGTATCAGTTGCCTCCTGTAATTTCTTTTTTTTTTTTCTGTAATTTCTTTAATGTTCAGTGTCCCCCCACCACTTTTTAATCTTTTAGTCTTCTAATACCTGTATAACCAATTTCTTGTATTAAATTTCCCTGTTTGACATACTAGTATGGTTTCCATTTTTCTGACTGGACCCAAATGATACATATTAAATCAGTTAAAGGAAACAAAGCACTAAATTTGTTAAATACGACCAACTGACCATTTTGCAAGTGATTATTCATGAATTATCTTAAAGAAAGCTGGTTTCCTTTCCACCCATCACCTATGACTGGTTGTCCCTGTAGAATTTAATCCTGTCAAATTTATTTTGTTGATTCCTGCCTACCATCTATCAGTTCTAGGTCCAGTCATCCAATGCTTTGGTTACCCCTCCCAGATCTGTGTCACTTAAAAGTCTGTTCTAAAGGTCATCAATGACTTTATCCACGTTATTAAAATTTAGAACAGGACAGAATAGATCTCTGCAACAGTTACAATACTAGAAACCACCCATGAGTCTGGCATCAAATTATTATTCATTAATTACTTATTTACTATAGTATTGTTTATATCATTTATATATTGTATCAGTTTATTTCTTCATCTCATCCACAAGAAATCACTCAAGTTGCCTTCCTGAAAACGAAGCATTCCTATTATCTACTAACCTGTCTAAAAACTATACCAAACTTCTTTATAAATTCATCTTTGTGATCACTACTTCTTTTCCTAAGTGCTTGTGAAACTCTTAAATGGTGCATTCCAGTATATAAACAACACGAGAACTCTATTCTTCCATGGACTCAAAATTTGGTAAAACAAGAATTGTAATTTTTAGATGTTCAGTGACTTAAACTGTAATTCAACTAAGAAGCCTAACATTAGTGATTGCTGCTTAAAAAACACCTACCCAGTGCTCATTTTGGCAACACATAACATAGATTATGAACATAACAAAGATTAGCATGGCCCCTGTCCAAAGATGACATGTAATTTGTTAAGTGCCCCATATTAAAAACAAAACAAAATCAAATCCTAACCCAAATCCACAACACTACCTAAAAAATTCACATAAACTAGGTTAAGTAAAACTGGAAGGAAACTCGGTATAGTATTATATTCAGATTGTTAAAAATATTTTTTTCTGTTTAATACACCACTTCTATAACTAAATACTAGAAGACAAAAATGTCAATGAAATGAAATAGCAAGGAAGGAAAATTGGAACCACACATCGTGAACCACACATTGTGTTTAGTTGTCAATGTCTCTTGAGTCTTCCTTTTGTTTTTCTTGAGTCTTCCTTAATGCAGAATAGTTACTTTAGCATCTTTTGTCTTTCATGACATTGCCATTTTTGAAGAGTATAGGCTACTTATTTGTAGACTGCTCCTCATTTTGGGTTTGTGTGGTGTTTTCTCATGATTAGATTCAGGTTATGCATTTTTAACGTGAATAACGCATAAGTGATGCCTTCTCAGTGCAACTTACTAGGAGGCACATGAATTTTCCCCATTTCTGGTGATTAACTTTGATAACTTGATGAAGTGTCAGTCAGGTTACCACATTGCAAAATTACTATTTTTTCCCTTGACAACTGTGTAACTGTTCTATTCCTCATCAAACTCTGACCCATGACCTTTAGCATCCACTGATGATTTTTCCTGAGTCAACTATTACTGATGTTTGCCGTCTTCAAACAGCTAGTCTACACAATAAATGTTCATTTTAAAAAATGAGTAAGTTGATTTAACACAAGGCCCTTCCCCCAGGCCTCATACAGCAATACTTCCCAACTTCTAACTTTTTTTTTTTTTTTAACTTCTAACTTCTTATTCGTCTTGACTCTACTGTAGTGAGGAGAACTGATCTAAGATAAACCCACTCCTGGCTCAAGGTTAGTACTGAGCCTTGCAATGTTTTAAGGTAAAATTCAAAAGCAGCATTTTATTATTCATGCAAAAGCCAGTCATGCCTGTGGCTGGTAACAATATAACTCTAATGAATGTGAATGGCTGTGCAGTAATTTCACGCCATGTTGAGTTTGTTCTCTCTTAACCTGAGGTAGCAGATGCTTTAGTTCAGCACAAACAGTACCACAGAACACAGATAAGTGTGGAAGCCTGTTACACAGGAATTCTTTTATTTTCTTTGTTACTGAAAGGCTTGCTGTGCTTAGTTCCTCTGCGACAGCAATACCCTGGTTATTCCAACTGTACTTGTTAATGAAGCTCCAGCTGTAGAAATAATAAACAACATTTAGGGCAACTTGCCTCGTTTTAGAAAAAAAGGAGCCATCCCGTGATCAACAGTTCACTTACTGGTCAGTTACTTTCTCTGCTAAATACTGGAAAGCTCTACATAAAACAGTGCATCTGTCATTTCACCTCATTATCTTCATGAGCAATCAAGTTACACTAAAATAAGTATTTACTTCGTAACTTTTAAATCAATATTTGATTCTGTAAACTATATTAAAAATACAGTTCTAAGTGTTGTAAAAAAGAATCCTTTCTTACATCTGCCTGAAGAATATCAATCCTTCTCTAATACTGAGAATACCAGTTTAACTTTTTTTAAAACGGCCAGAAGAATCCACAAGCCATTCTTCAGAGAAATATAGTCAGCCAAAAGAGTGCAAAACCAAAATAGGAACCTTTTTAGATCTGGTGTGGTTGTTTTGTTGTAGAGCTTTCTTAATCCCAGGAAACTCTGACTACTTGCCACAAATCTGCTTAAATTACAGACAAGTAGAAGGATTGGAATGAAACAAGAATGAAGCTTATTGGGGATACATTCTTAAGGCACTAGAACCTAATATTACAACAGCTTTAAATTATAGTATAACTTTAACAACTAAACAAGAATCTCCAAGAAATTATATGTTCTTCATTCATTTTACACGTAGAACCTTTTCCCTACATGGTTTAGTAGTTTTTAAGTTCATGTTTCTGCTACGGGTTTTTATTCAAAGCAAATAAGTAATTTATAATGAGAATGTTTCACTCGGATTGAGAAAATCAGGTTCTTCTATTCACATAAACTTATAATCAGCAATCTTCTATTTTTTTTTTTGCTATACACACTACAATTACTACGTCAACTGTACCAATACAGTATGTATCTCAGTAACAGAACCTCCTAACTAGATTCTAAATATTTAGATTATTGCCTTTGCATTCATTTCCTTAGAAGTTATTTTTACTTGTATTAAGTCAGCTTGAGAAAACAACTGCAAACTATGAGGTGAAATTTCTGACAACAAACGAGTCTAAAAAAAAATTTATATATATATATCTTTTTTGTATCTTAGTCCCTGTTTTATGTTCAGGGACACTATAGGTTAAGAAATAAGGAATTTATTTTTACATCTCTTTGGTCTTCCTAACCAAAATTTTAACAGGCTACAGTTTGTGTACTTTGACAGAATTTAAAGAGTTGCGCATTATTCAGAGGAATAAACCTTCTAGGCTTCCTTGCCTTCACCCAAAAATGCATGAAAAAAGATTCTCATCTTTCATAGTTAGATACTTTGTTCCATCAGTTAGGATTTTCTGATATTTGGTTTTTCTTTTATCTTTATCCAAATTTGGTATTCGCTGAGTTAGCTTTATACATAAGAAAGAGATCCTTTTCCTTTTTTTCAAGATACTTCTACTAAACTGATACTTAAATTTGTTAATCTGATATTATAAGGAGAAAAGACCCTATATAACAGCTAAACCAAAGCAGTGAAATGGTTCATTCTTTTTCTAATATCCTAACATTTCACTATTGATCAGAAAAAGCAAAACATATACATTTAATTGAAAGAGTTACATAAGAGCTTAAACATCCTCTAATTCTGTGATCAAACAAGTATAAATAACAATGATCCCGGCAGGTGAGGCATCCATGGGCCATCCATTCTGATCTGTAGTGAGATAATTAAGGGTCCTGATAAGGGAGGAGAAATAAGACACAAATTATCCAATAGCAGGTTGTCATATTCATTTTCAAATACTTGTTACCAATGGATAAGATCTAACTTTTAAGACCCCAACTCCCCATCAATAATCATAATTAAGTTAAAACATAAGTGCAAAATCCTTTTATACTAATTATTATTGACTCAAGAACACTTTTTTGTTCTTTAGACCATGAATTAATAACTAGCTCCATTCTTGCTGCAGATGCTGGGAAAGACATAGAGATTCTTACTCCTCATTGTCAAGTATCTTTATGAGGAGTAGGACTTGCCTGCAGGAAAGTTGCCACACTGTCTTTTCAGTAGGAATTTTCTCATGTTGGAAAGTGAACATGACACAGCCTAGCCTGCCAAGTATAGGAAGTTTTCATGGCCCACTAGCCACAGTCCTCTCCTAGAAACAGATCCATGAATATTGTATGGGAAGGAGAATCACCTGCAATGAAAGACAGGTTTCTGTATAAAGCCACAAAGGAAAAAAACCAAAACTGTGCCTCCTCCTTACATTTATCAATTTGTGGCAAAAGTCATAAAAGATAACCAAAACAAAACTATGTCACATAAAAATGTGCTTTTAATCCCAATATCTTAAAAGATATGTGCTTAGGAAAAGGAAAACTGAGAAATATAATAAAGATTTCCTTTAAAGAATGGAAATTTTTGTTGCACATTAGGTTTATATAAATGGTAGATACCAAATGAAAGAATGGGTTTATACAGTAGGTTTATAACACATGGTTTTGATGATATCAAAAAATTACAATGAATTCAGAAATGCAAAGTTCACATCATTGGAAAAAATTCGTTTTTAATTACGTATTATTCAATATTTTAGTGGCTAATATTTTAATAATTACTTAAAATATAAGTCCTTATATGCTGTTAAAAGCAAACTGAACATACCAACCAACATACCAGTAAAATGTAATTTTTGAAATAAAAAGAAAAATTTGAATATGGCTTTGAATTATGGTTATAAATCAAATGTCCCTATTTTTTAGGAATGTATACTTAAGTTTATCTATAGGTGAAAAGACATGAGATTTAAGATTTGCCTTAAAATACTTTATCAAGGATTGTTGAAACAAATGAAGCAAATGTTGATAATTATTGAATCTGGTGGTTGGTGTAATGAAGTAAAACTATTAAAGAATGAAGAAACTTGTCAAAATAAAAACATTGAAATAAAAAAAATTAAAGATACTATCTATAATATAAAAAAACATCCAGTATCTGGGATTAAAGTTAACAAAAGCTAAGTAAGCAAGATTTCTACATAAAAAGACTAAAAAACATTAGCAAGAGAAATTAAAGATATAAATGAACGGAGAGACATACCATATTCATGGACTAGAAAACACAATAGTATAAAAATTTCAATTCTCCCCACCCAAACTGATTTATACAGATTCAGTGAAATTTCAGCCAAAACCCTCAAAAGGTTTTCTTTTGGTGGATCTATACAAATCAGTTCTAAAGTCTTTATGGAAATGCAAATATGCCAAGAACTGCTGAGATACCCTTGAAGAAGGTGGGAAAAAATTGCTCTACCATATATGAAAACCTAACATAAAGCTAAAAGAGTTTAGATAATGCAATTTTGGAGCAAGATCAATGAAACAGAAATGTGACCCCAAAACATTCTCACATATACAGACACGTGACTAATCATCAAGGTGTCTTTGTAGACAGGTAGTCTGTGCCATATGCTATTGTCTCACAGCTTCAAACCTATCTGTCTAAACACAACTCTATAATATTGGGACTCTGCAAACCATATTTTGGTTTGCCAACTAGCTCCATGTTAGGCTCTGCTAATACAGGGCTTTAGAGCAGACGACAAGGCCAGAGGAAAAGGGGACTTGCCCCTTCCTGTGGGCTTTCTGTCTCTTGTTTCTGTGTCACCCTAGCAATACTTCTTCACTCCCAGCAGTGGCAATGCCTTTCTATAACTGCAGCTGAACCCAGTTTATAGTTTTCCCAGTTGCAGAACCAGCCTCACTGCATCCTCCACCTCAGACACCAGCACTAGTGAGTCTGTATCCTCTC